AATGTGTATTATTATCGCTGTCCGGATCACAGAAAGAATTATGTTATGTCATTTGCTTTTTGTTTTGACCGAGAAGATGACATATATCAATTTGCTTATTGCTACCCTTATACTTATACTCGTCTTCAGCATTATCTGGATAATTTAGAGAAGAGGAACATGGACTATTATTGCAAAGAGCTTCTAGGACTTAGTGTGGTAAGTAATAGTAGTATTTACCACACATAATGTTTTCTTATAAATATCTGGATCTCAATGGTGAAACATGAAGCTTAATGGTCTCAGCTAATGGAACAATGGATGCAATTATTTGCTACTGTGATAGATATGAGTATAACTTCACATAAAAGCCCAATTATGACATAGATATGTTATATTTGCAACTGTCTATGTGAAATGATATAGAGAAGATTAGTAAGGATTTGTTTCCATAATTATTATTTGGAAATATGGTATAAGCTTTGCTGATAGTATCTTCATTTTCTTTATGTTCACCAATATTTTGTTCGAAAAACTATATTTCTTCATTATTGGATTCATTTTCATGGCTTTATGTAAAAGATACCTATATGAAGAGCCTTTCATCGATACAGGATTTATTTATTTATTGGATTTAGAAAACCACTGAAATCCATAAGACTCTGATTGTTCTGAAGACAGATATGAATGAGGAACACTTAAGTTTGTCGGGGTTTTCTAAGTCTAATAAAAAGAAATTGAGCTTTCACTAGCATTAGTTGCCAATAAGCTGTCTTTGGTCAAAGTCATGCTAGAGCAATTCTGTGGAATTGTAAAACTTGAATTTTCAGCATTTGCTATGGAGGTGCAGAAATCTCTGAGACATGTTTCCATTTGATGTTAAGTTGAAAAAAGAGAATGTAGTCATTTTTTTAAATTACATTTTTATTTATTATTTGTACTTTTAAGGTGCCCAGAAAAATGTATTCTGTTGTTGCAGGACAATTAAAGAAAAATATAGAAAATGAACACACATGTACACATGTACTAAATGCCAACAAGGAAACAGCTAATAGACAAAACAGGGCTGAAGACTACTTATGAACTCAGTAATTGCAGTTGATCCTCCTAGATTTTACAAAGTACTGTAGGAGTTTAGCTTAAGAAGGTCTTGTTCCCCAAGACCTCTTACTTCCATTCCCACAAAAAGGAACCAAATTTGGCTTAAAATGTTCCTGCTTTGGGCTTGAGGATGAAAATTTAAGTGTGGAAATCTCTCTTTTCCAGCACTGCTTTTGAATTGAAAAAAAAAGTGCCGTTCATATTTTACTATTTTTCAGAACTATTTTTCACTGTGGCTACATCTAGGTGCTCAGGACTCAAAAGTGGTTCAGGAGCTTGGTTGGGAATCAACACATGCAAAGACTTTAATATAATATAGATGGTAAGGAAGATAACTTGCATTGAGATATGTAGAAAGCATTGCTTTTTAAAATCGAGAATGAGGTTACATTTGGAAGTAGCTCCCTAATTTGCTGGAGTATAAGAAGGGGAAAAAGATGCAGCCAATCAGACTTGCAAGTTTCTGCTATTGTAATTAATCTTAATAGAAGTAGCTTCAGCTTTCCCAAGGAGCTGATTTCCTAGTCTGGTCTACCTAGTGGGAATCTTGCCAGACTGATTTTGGAATCTTGGCTCTTACAACTACATCCATTTCATTCACATGCTAATTTGACACACACTGTCTTTGGAAATATGTATTTCCTCAGAGTTCTTGTACCCTTTACTCTGTGCTTAAGTCTTCCTGACTCAATTCTTACAGATTTATACTACCAGTTTGCAATTCTCCATAATTATCAACCCTTGCTTTCATTTCCTATATACTACTCCTATTATATTTGTAAATGCATGAGGAATGTTTAACAAAGGAATGCACTGAATAAGATTTAGTGAATCTGCATGTATATTTTGAAGCTATTTAATAGTCTGGAAACATTCTACAGGTAGTCCTCGGCTTATGACCACAATTAAGCCCAAAATTTATGTTGCTAAATGAAACATTTGTCAAGTGAGTCCTGCCCCATTTTACAATCTTTATTGCCCCAGTTGTTAAATGAATCATCACAATGTTAAGTTAGCAACATGGTTGTTAAGTGGATCTGGCTTCTCCATTGACTTTGCTTGTCAGAAAGTCACAAAAGCTGATCGCATGACCCCGGAACCCTGCAACCGTCATAAAGATGAACCAGATGAATCAATGAATGCAGCATGGCGATGCTGCAAAGGTTGTAAATGTGAAAAACGATCATAAGTCACTTTTTTCAGTGTCATGGTAACTTTGAACGATCATTAAATGAACTTTTGTAAGTTGAGGACTACCTGTACTTACCAGTTTATTAAAACTGCCATTCATATAAATGATAATTTGTGCTACAGATAAAGAAGAGAAAGAACTTTAAAAGCAGATACATGAATGTTGCTCTGTCACTGGTTTGTGTGGATTGGACAAAATATTTTGCTGGCTGGTTCTGATAATGCCTGTTTACATCAAGAATCCCACATGAGTCAACTTCTGGGCTACCATGGCAGACTGAGCACAGCTCTGCTTTTTGTAGAGCTGACGAATGTGGCCAAAATAGGAGCCATGAAGGGATCGGTTGTCGGAATTCTTCTCCAGACTAAGGAGGAGGTAAAGAACACCCATGCTTGACTCCATACAGATGCTCCCAGCAAAGAGATTGTGGGGGAAAAACATTCTCCAGTGGGATTTGAGAGTCTAATCTTGTCGAAGCCACACTCACCACCTTTTAAAGAGACTCTTCCTCTCTTAATCACTTTAGGAAGCTGCTTATTACTAATTTCTTAGGAGTTAAGAACTTTCCCAAAGTTCTTACTGTAATTCACTGGCAGATTTTTCCTTCTGTCCTGGACGAAAGCAGCTTTGACTAAGTTTAAGGATTCAGAAGAGAAGCTTTACTTTTTGAAAAACTGTAAAAGTGGTTCTAGAATGTTGATTTTGGAAAGTTAAGGAGCTAGATGGATTTGAAAGAATATTTCCTGTGGGGTGTTTAAAAATTTATAAAATAGTATGTGAAGTCTTTGAAATTAAATGGTAAGAAATTCTTCTGTGGCAAAGTTTTGCTGACTGAAAATAAACAGATGATAAGAGCGGACTTGAAGGCTGGCCACAGGGAACCAGAAAGAACAAAGACTATGTTAAAGGAGAATAGCCCCATCAATACATGGAACTACATCATTTGACTATAGAATTGCTTGGGAAAATTTTACTCAAAATTTACTTACAAGATTGGGTGGCACTATAGTGTAAGGACAATAGATTTTACTGGATAAAACAGAAACGCAATTGCTTAACGCATTGTAACGCATTGTAAGCCGCTCTGAGTCTCCGGAGAAGGGCGGCATATAAATCAAATTTAAAAGAAACAAAAAACAAAAAAACCCGAGACTGATCTGAATGTGGATTTGGAGATTTTTAAAAAATGCTGGATTACAAAAGTGATTTGGAAAAAGATGTTGTGATCTGAAAATGGATTTTAAAATGATGATTTAAAAGTGATATGGAAAATGATGTCAGAATGAATTTACAAATGAAACCAGATGATGTTTTAATAATTAAAGGGGACATATAGGTAATAAATCAAAAGAATAACAGGAAAACCTGCTTTGAATTTACAAAAACAATATGTGGAACCAAGGAAATTCTCTCTGAGACGAGACAAAATCAACTGTGATTGAGACTGTGTCCCAAGAAGGACATAGAGAAACTGACAAGAAATTAACTTGTGGGCTAAATTAACTATTTGATGGGACTAAAGATAGGGCTTTTTAAAAATGAAAAGAAGATATATAAAGTGTATATCTTGTAATCTGACTATTGATAAGGGATGAAATATGGGAAGAAGAGTTTTTTTTAAAAAATCAAAGTACTAAAGAAGTTAGACAAATTGTTTATACATGTCTGGAGGGACTCGGAGACATCTTTTATATACCTTCTTTCTCTTTTCTTTTTATCCTTTTTTCACTTTTTTTTACAAATTTGTATGTTTTTCTTAGTTTGTATTTTTTTGATCTTTGTATTTCTAAATTTTAATGAGTTTATTTTAAAAACCCTGCATGAATTATTGAGAATACTGTGCATGTTTCAAAGTTGATTTTTCCATTTCCTCAGCATAGTATGAAGAAATAAATGTAGTTTCATAATATTTTTCTTTGTAATAGAATAATAAGATTCTAAGTAGTGCCTTCAGGCAGGGCTGTGGAGTCGGGAGATAAATGTTCCGACTCCGACTCCTCAGTTTTTTGTACTTCCGACTCCGACTCCAGGTACCCAAAATTTCCTCGACTCCGACTCCTCGACTCCGACTCCGACTCCACAGCACTGCCTTCAGGAAGAAAAGTGTCTATTCTCAGTTCTACGTCAAGTTGTAGAAATAGATAAGCAAGATTTGTTATTCTTATAAAAATATTTATTCTACTTTGCTTTATTCTTAGAAATAAAACAAATTTTATGTAGGTAGAAATCTTCCTTTGACAACTCTTGTAAATGAAAAAGCAATAACTAAATACCTGATTTGTCTCTCAGATTGTTATGATTTGTTTTATGCCAGGAAAACTGGAGGAACAGAGTAATTAGCACTGGGCTATATGTTACGTTGTTTACTGTCAATCTATATAAGCTTCTGTTGTATTAAAACAATTATGGTGCCTTTCCAACATCACAGTAAAATTGTTGTTGTTTCTGTCATTTACTATTTGCTTGACTATGTTTATGAAAAAATGATACATGATTAATAACTGAAGGAATGAGCAAGTCAAACTAATAAAGACTCCTAGAATGAATTGAAATTATATTACATATATTAACTTCTTTCCCCAGTGGAACATTAATTTTGGACTACTAAATGAAAAAATAGTTCCCTGATCATAATTTCAGAAATAGAAATTATTGGGTTGATTCACATTATTTTATCAAAATTTGCTCGCTTTTTCCCGCTAAATTAAATAGAAGTTCATAGCCAGTGAAATTATGAAGCTCTAGTTTTAATAGCCACTTTTATAAACAGGTAGATTTTAAGCAATATAAAAATCTAACAAATGTATTCCAGCCTCCACTTGTCAAATGTCCTTTATTTGAAGGCTACTAGGAGAATTTTGCAGAGAATCTTCTTTGGTTATCAGCTGCATTTGTGTATGGATAGATTGACTGGATCTGTGTAAGTGGGGAAAGTGATATTTGTGTTTTATCAGGATTAATTAATTAACAATCAACAATCATGCTTAACCTCTGCTTGAAAATTACCCCGGTAATGAGTTAGACTCAAACCCTTTAAATTTTGGTTTGGAGCCTGTTTTGTCTACTTCTGGATCCACAACTTCTAATAATCAATACCATTGTTATCTCAGGATGTACTTCTTTTGCTTTCCATGGTCTTACACAAATGAAGGTCAAAGAGAACTCAAGCTCCAGTGTCAGGCTTTGCATCAGAAATAGTGTTAACTCTCAGTCATCCAAACATTTTGCCCCCGTATTCAGAAATTGCTTACAATACAAGCTCATAAATATAGCGCAAGTAGATAAAGCATTTATGTATGTATTTGTTCCACATTACATTCTAGGCCTTTTCATTTCTCTTTTCTCTATCAATAACAATTTGATTGTTTCGTTTTTAGCCTTGAGACTGAGAACCACCTGCTCAGTGTTTATATAACAGTTGTATATAGTCTGAAAATCACAGGTTGTCATTTCACCAGCTTCCGCGATTATGACTAGGAAATTCTTTTCCCACTCATATCCTTTCTTCCATCAATACAGACACAAGAAAATTACATTTCTCAAGATTCTTGATCTGGTATGCCACTTCTACATCTGCTATTGAGGGTTCCTAAAAGAAGAAAGAAGGATTCCTAAAAGAAGAAAGAGGTGCCAATATCACCATTACAGCATTGCGTTGTGACTAGGTGCATTTAAGAAAATGAAAGAAATTGCAAATCTCCTATTTCCAAAATTCACAGAGAAGGCATGAGTATCAAGAGATGAGAAAGGATGATTCAACAGCTTACTTATTCTTAACTATTTGCTTTGCTGTCAAATGAATTTAGTTGCTATTTGCTCAAGGAAACATCCAAGTAACACAAGAGCAATTTACAAATTGCTAATCCAGGTCCATTTTTTTTAAATTGGGTGGTTCCTGCATTTCCTGAAACTTACTTAGTAGTCCAGAATTATAGAAAATATGGAAAGTTTTAACTGTTCTCCAGAATGCTTTAAGAGCCAATTCTCTGAAGACTAGATTGTGGTTTGATAAATTGTTCAAAGTAATTAGTGAACTTTGTTGGTCAATTAGTGTTCTCTTGAAGTGATACTTAGAATTATATCTTCTTGGGTTATATTTCTTCTTATATTAAGTCCAAAATAATTAATAGCAATTAATAGGAATTGCATTTAGAAAACATCTTTCAATCAAAATAACAGTCACATGGAAGATCATTTAAGTTATTCTCATTCCATTTTGCAATATCGGTATTGTTTATGTGACTAAATAAGTATAAAATATCTACACATAACTGGTTTTATAACTGATTTTTAGACCTGAAGTTTATTAAAAACATATGAGAAGGAGTTCAGAAATAAGATAGTATTTTATTATATTCACTGAAATTGAATTGTATAATAAATAGTGTAGCAGATGGCAACCTTTGGGGGAGGGGCAAAGGTCTAGTAGAATTGATTATATCTTACTCATGCAACCTTTTTAATCTGGTAATTTCATTTAAAGTTGGTCTGTTGCCAGACAGCAGTCATTCACTGCTATTACTTTATCTGGATGTTGGCCCTCTAATAGCTTCCTTAGTTATTTCTACTTGGTTTAGGAATAATGGTATAGGTTTAGTTGTTCCTAGAATTAGGAATTCAAATCCTCGTTCTTAGAATTAGGTGATTTCTTTCCTTGCCATGACTTTATGCAGAAAAATAGCAATAGCACTTAGACTTATATACCATGCCATAATGCTTTACACACTGTCCGGGTGGTTTGCGAAGTCAGCATATTGCCCCCAACAATCTGGGTCCCCATTTTACCAACCTCAAAAGGATGGAAGGCAGAATCAACCTTGAGCCATTAAAATTTCTGTTAGTGGGTAGAGTCAGTTTGCAATACTGCATTTTAACCACTGTGCCATCATGCTCCAATGCTTTCCTAATATTAATCTCTTATAAATATGCATACTTTTCATATGCTTTCTGTACTGTTTTACATTTTTATTCTTTCTTTTACAGCTGTCTAATAAAGTTTTATACACATGCATGTGAACGTATTCACTGTGATTTAGACATTTAGTTGTTTAGTATTTTACTCATGAAGTAATTTTATAATTTAGTCAATTAGTTTTAAGTATTTAAATGTTTTAGTATTCTATCGCTGGTATTATAGTGCTTTGTAGTTTGAACCATTTTATTTATTTCTATTAATTATCTAAGAGATGAATATTAAAGGCATGTGGAAAACTACATTACTTCTGGCATCCTATCTTAGATTTGAAGAATGTCTTTTGTGCTTTAAAGTTATGTGGCAGCATTTTGGCCACTTTGCACTGTTCTAAACTACATTAAGGAAATGGTTGCTGTTTTGTTCAAAAGAACTGTCAGATTTATTCCGTGAATGAAATAAGCTAATTGACCACATTCTTTTGAGTTACTAAACCAGGAGGACTTTTTAAAAATAGATTTTCAGACCATGTCATTTTTGTATATGTTTTTTCATAAATTCATTCACTCTGCATTTGCACTGATTTTTTTTAAAAAAAGTTTTTAAAAAACATTTATGTTTGCTTAACCAAACATCTTATTATTTTTCTATCAATATATCTACTTAAAATAAGCATTTTAAACCTATTTTGATCACTTTGTTTTTTACTGTATCTCCCTTTTTAGAAAAGTCAAGGTTAAGAGATAATTAACCAATATGAATTCTTCCAGAAAGTATAATTAAATTCATTAATATCAAAATTTACAATGTTTTTTATGCATCTCACCTCCCAGGGTTGTTGTTTAATTATTTATTTAATATGCTACCCATCTCCCTATTCAAAATGATTCTGGGCATTTTATAATCTCATAAAAGCATAAGTATAAAAAATATTAAAAGCATTAAAACCAATAATTAAATGAAAGTTGAAAACCAAGAGCATCAAGGCTGGGCTTTTATCTCTCACTCAAACAACCACCAATCAGGGCCCCAAATCACCTGGTAGAACCAGGTTTTAAGGCCCTTCCAGAAGACTAGAAGGGTTGAGGCAGATCTCATCTCCAGTGGCAAGCTGTTCCAGAGGCACGGGCCATGGCAAAAAAGCCTCTTCTCCTAGATTCTGCCAGTCAAAATTCCTTGGTCGATGGGGTTAGCAGAAGGCCTCTTATAGGGGAAAGTCTTCAATAAACCAAGTGAGTGAATTCATTCAGTTTTTAAATTACTGTGATACAATACCTTTTTCTCCTTCCAATTGAACAATTGAAAATTTCAGAAGTCTAATTCAAGTTTAATTCAAGAGGTATCACAAACTCTCCTTTTTATTGAATAGCTACCTACACAGAAAGAGACACAAATGATTTCTTTATCTGAAAAGTAGGCTAATTCTTTTTTTTCAAGGAGCTTACTTTTACAGTAGGAAATGTGTGTGTTCTTTTTAGTAGAGAGATTCTAATTTTCTTTTTATTTTGGTGTGATATGTATTAAAATCAGGCCTGTTTTCTTTATGGAAATCTTGGTGAATTGGCTTATTTTTATTTCTATAGTTTTCAATTACACACTAAATGCAGATGCAACTCATAAATTTATTTTAGTTTCCATACTACAGAACATGAAGATACTAAATGCTTTGAAATTCTTACATTCCTTGCTCCATCATTAATATAGACATTTTTGTAGCTTTTATTTCTAGAGGTTCCCACTTATCAAAAAGCTTCTTCTACTACATTCACAATGAGCAAATTCTAGCTTCATTGGAGTTTTTCTTTTTCTCACTAAACTGTTACTTTGGATGCTGTGTCTAGAACTGTCAGACAACTGCTAATTCTATACTACATGCATAGGAACCCAGAAAGTTAATTTGAAATAAAACTGTAGAGGAGCATTTTTTTGTTTTGTCCAAGTAAGTGAAAGTTTACAGGAGTGGATTGAGAAAAAGAAAATTACATGAACTTGGATGGTTCCTCTTTTGATAGTCAGCAGTTGACTTCTTAGCCACCTCACAACTGACAGATTTTTGAGCATTCTGGAAGCGTTACAGATCACAATGCATTCCTCCAGATTTGAATGATCTATTGCTTTATATAATGCATTCAAACAGCATTAATTAGGTTAGTGCCAGCATCTCCCTATTGTGTAAGAGAAGAATACTGATTCTCTTCTGTGAAAGTCTGCATATTTCTACTCAGTGTGCACAATGAAAATATTTTGTTTTTTGTTAGATTTATATTCTATTTTTCCTTCAGGAGCTCAAGGAAGCATACATAATACTTCCTTATCTAATTATGTGGCAGGTACTCGTAGGTATAAAAAGGGATAATGCAGAGATGATTTTAGAGGAGTTGTGAAGACTGTTGGCAAAATAATCTCCAGTATTTCTTGTGGAACGTATTTCCTGATCTGTCCTACATGGAAGGGACAGAAAGAAAAGAAAAGATTTCATGGAGCACTTAAATTCTCTTAACCTAATGGATAAGTGTGATTTCAACTGTAGTCTCATTTAATTTACAAAAATAACCTTGAATATCTTGAATCCTATGCCATGGATATATTCATTTGTCCTTCAGGACTGTTTCAGTGTTACTGTATCCCATGTGCAAAATGATTATGTATGAATATATTCAAAATAATAATGCTTTAATAATACTTGAGTGTCTTCTGGGCAGATAGGTAAGATACAAAATGAATGAATGGATAAATGAATTATGTATATGACTTGATGGAACTATACAGTGCCTGGGTTCATCTGCTTGACATTTCTGCTTTGTGTGCACTTTTAATTTTTGCTTTGAGCCTATGACACAATTGTTATCTGAATAATATTGCTAGATTTAATTTGGTGGTTCATGGTAAAGATAGAATTAATCTCTTGAAGGTGAACATTAGTGGAGTAGCATTGGCTACATTCATTTAGGTAGCATCTAACTGATTGCGCAATAAGCACTTAGACTAATGGAATTTTAAAGGCAACAATCATCACTGTAGAATAAAAAATGAATCTTCATGCTGTTCTTTTAAAAAAAGTTTCTGTTATTAATGAGAGACATATGGCTAAACTATCATGCACTACTTTGAAAATGGAATTTTTGAGTTCTGAAAGGGAATATTCGTCTATCAGTGCTTAACTTGTGTCAAGAGTGCTTTGCATAAAAAAGGACTTGGGGATAGAACCTAGTTATATAAAGCAAAGTTTCTTTTCATAGAATCCTTTTGTAGTACCAACATTAAACAGCTTCTTAAGTGGAAAATATTATGAATATCCTTTTAAAGGAAAGTCCTTTATTATATTTGATTTTCATTATTTATTTATTTTGCCCTTTGAAAAAGTTAAACAGCCTGAGATTCTACTTTCATATTGGCTGTTCCCAAGGGAAATTACTCACCCATACAAATGGTTTCAACTGGGTTACATGGCTTTCCTTTATGTCATGCATTTGTTCACTGACAGGTTATATAACACCACAGGCTATGTGTATCTGTATTCGAGTATAAAGATATATACAGATACAAAAAATTAAAATCTCGGGTGTTTTCCCACATCATTGTAAATAAATTGGTTAAAATATTTAAAATCCTGGTTAAAATCCCAGCTTAAAATCTTCTAAAAATCCTTACAGAGCACTCTGCAAGGTCCTTTAAAACCTCAGCTAAAATCCTACCAGTGACTTTAAAAGTTTTTCTTATAGCAACGTTTCGACAGGCTCACAACCCTGTCATCTTCAGGCTCTGTTTCATTTAGAAGCTATGGGTTGTCTGTTGCGTAGTCGGAGCTGTCGCTTATCTATATTTGCTGCTGCTGATGTATGCTGGCTAGCCTGCAACTCTGTGTCCCGATTGGAGGACTGCAGTTTTTCTTCCTGCTTCCTCATCCTAGCTGCTTGGCTGCGTGTTACCGGCCCAGCTTTCTCAGATTCTCTATTATTATCTGTCTGCTGTAGAGGGGAAAGTGTTAGATCAGGCGCAGGAAAGGAAGACTGGACCAGCTCGATACATTAATAACTTTATTAGGTACAAAGTAACGAGTCAAGACTGCTGGCGCGCTGCCGGAGCTCTCCTTATATTCGCTCCCGGCAGACGCACCGCCCCTTGACAGGGATTCAAATTTCCCGCCCGATGGCTGGCAGCCAATCAGGGCGGATGTCCTTATAAGGACATAACACTCCTCCCCCCTTAGTCCGAAATGTCAATCTCGTTCACAAAAGTCACGTAATCGCGCAGGTACGCCGGACGCCTCGGCACCCTAGCTGACCTGCGCAGTCTCACTTCTCCTCCGTCTCCGACCTGGAAGGACGGGGCTCTTTCGTCTCCTGGTTCCCTCTCCGGAACCGGGCTCGGTTCGGCTGTCGAGTGAGCGGGGCCACCCCCAGCGCCTCCGGCCGGACCGCAGACCTTGGATGGCTGGTCCTGGTGGTCTTCCTCCTGGCCTGTGGATCTCTCGCCTCGTCTCGGTTGCTCAGTTCCGACCCGGGAAGAGCGTCTGAGTCTTGGTAAGTCCATTTCTTGCTCCTCCCTGGTCTCCCGGGCGCTGTGGTTCGGTCTCGGTCCGGCTTGCTGCCGCTCGGTTGGTGGTTCCGCTCGGTTCGGGTGGTGCTGGCTTGCGTTGTTGTCGTTGTGCCGTCCGACCTCGCAGGGGTGGCGTTGGTCCCCTCGGTTGGGCTGGCGTTGGTCTACCTCGTCTGGTCGGCGGTGGTCGACCTGGTCGGGGTGTTGTTGCGGCGCTACCTCTGCGGGGCGGCGGAGGTCTCCCCTGCCGGGGTGGTGCAGGTCTCCCTGGCCGGGTTGTTGTCGGCTTCCCCTTCCCCCTAGTCCCTGGTCTACCGTTGGTTGGTGCCTGGGGCCATCCGGGTCGGGGTGTCGTTTCTTGGCTGTCTTCTGTGATGGGCGGGGGTCCCCCACGTCGGTGAGTCGTGTGCCACCCTCGCCCGTGGGTCGTGGGGTGCCCGTCTTGGCTGGGTCCCGGTCTACTCGCCTGGAACTGCAGTCTCCCTGGCTGGGCTGGCATAGGCTGCTGTAACTGGTGGGGTGCGCTGCTCCTCCTCTGGGCAGGTCCCGGTCTACCTGCGGGCTGGGTTGGTGGTCCCTGGCCTTGCCGTGCCCGGTGCCCACCTGGCTGGGTTGGTGTTGCCATCCCCCGTGCGGTTGGCCCCGGTCTACCTCGCTGGGCTGCCGACGTGACAGCATCTGGTAGTGGGCTGGGCCGACCTTGTCGGGGTGGTGCTGCTCTGCCTCGCAGGGGTGTGGTAGGCCTACCTCGTCGGGGTGTCGCAGGCCTACCTCGCCGGGGTGTTGTAGGCCTACCTGGTCAGGCTGGTTTTCATGTGCTCCCCTCCACCTTTTTCGGAGTTGGTCGATGTGGCGTCTCGTGAACTGTCCATCTTCCAACTCGACGATGTAGGATTTGGGCCCGGTTGTGCTGGCAATTTTCCCCTTCAGCCATTTAGGAGAGCCGCTGAAATTCAGCGCGAAAATTGAATCTCCGTTGCTGAAGGCGTGAAGCGGGCGGCTGGCGGTTGCGGTCACTTCCGGGCTGTATTGGGGGTGCAGCCGGTCCAAGGGTGACCTCAACCTTCTGCCCATCAACAGTTCGGCCGGGCTCTTGTGGGTGGTGGCGTGTGGCGTGATGTGCTGGGTGAGGAGGAAATTGTCTATGCGCTCTTGCCAGTCCCCCGGGCCCATTTTGGTGAGGGCCTCTTTGGTCAGTCGGACCATGCGTTCAGCTTGACCGTTTCCGGCCGGCCTGTAAGGGGCGGACAGGGCGTGGCGGATGCCCAGTTCTGCCAGGAAGGACTCCATGGCCAGGGATGTGAGCTGGGGGCCGTTGTCTGAGACCAGCACATCCGGTAGACCATGTGTGGCAAAGAGGCGGCGCAGGGCTCGGATCGTTGCGTCTGTTGTGGTAGATGCCATGGGCACCACCTCGAGCCATTTGGAGAAGGCATCTACCACGATGAGGAGGTGTCGCCCTTGCATCGGACCCGCGAAGTCGATGTGGATCCTCGACCAGGGGTTGCTGGGGGTCTCCCACTTCGCGACTTCGGATTGCGGCGGCGCTGGGCGAACTTCTTGGCACGGGTCACATCTGGAGACCCATTGTTCAATGTCTCTGTCCATGGAGGGCCACCAGACATAACTCCGTGCCAGGGCCTTCATGCGGACAATGCCCGGATGCCCCTTGTGCAGGGTCTCTAACGTCCGCCGTTGCAGAGTGCTTGGAATCAGCACCCTGTCTCCCCATAGCAGACAGCCTTTTATGGTGGACAGCTCCTCCTGTTTCCTGGCGAACGGGCTGAACCTTTCCTCTGGCTTTTCCGCTGGCCACCCTCTGAGGATCCAGGACTTCACTTGGCGGAGTGTGGGGTCCTTTTGGGTGTGGACGGCCACATCTGCGGATGACACCGGGCAGCTGGCGTCGTCATCAATGTGAAGTAGGTGGAGCGTGGGGGCTGGGTCTTCGACCGGCTTCTTCGACGGGCATCTGCTGAGAGCGTCAGCATTTCCTATGGCTGTGCCTGGCTGGTGCACGAGCCTATAGGAGTAGCCAGCTAGGAAGATGGCCCATCTCGTCATTCTTGGGGACATGAAGGTCGGGGTTGGTTGGTCGCCTGCGAAGAGTCCCAGGAGAGGCTTGTGGTCTGTGACTATGGTGAAGCGTCTTCCGTAGAGGTATTCGTGGAAGCGCTTCACTCCAGCCACGATGGCCAGGGCTTCTTTGTCCAGCTGGCTATAGTTCCGTTCTGCGCCGGACATAGTCTTTGAGAAGTACGCGATTGGGGCTTCCGAGCCATTGGGCAGTTCGTGGCTGAGAACTGCCCCCCACCCCGTAAGGCGACGCATCGCAGGTCAGTCTGATGGGGAGCGTCTCGCTGTATTGGATGAGGACGCTTTTGGACGTCAATAGTCCTTTGATGGCCCGGAATGCCGCTTCCTCTTCCGGGCCCCACTTCCAGGAAGCCGATTTCCCCAGCAGGCGGTGGAGTGGCTCAGCAACTGTGGCTTTCTGTTTTAAGA